GTGATAAATCCTGTGAAGAACTTGGACTGGTGAAAAGAGTCTATCACATAAGTACTGAACTGAATGAATCTTATGACTCTGTTGATGCAGTGCTTCAAGATTATGATGATGTCTTTAAAGGATTAGGTGCTTTACCCTGCACGTACAAGATTCAGCTGAGTGAGGGGGCTCAGCCTGTTGTGCACGCTGCATGTCGCATTCCAGCACCACTGCGAGAGGGGTTGAAAAAAGAGTTGGACAGAATGACCATGTTGGGAGTCATTCGAAAGGTGGAAGAGCCCACAGATTGGGTTAATTCCATAGTGATCACAAAGAATAATAATGGAGAGTTAAGGATATGTATGGATCCAAAAGACCTAAATGAGAACATCATGAGAGAACATTATCAGATTCCCACTCGTGAAGAAATAATAAGTGAAATGGCTGGAGCAAGTTATTTCACCAAGTTGGATGCATCACAAGGGCTTTGGCAAGTAAAGCTGGATGAAAACAGCACTAAGTATTGTACTTTCAATACACCTTTTGGAAGATATTGTTTTCTAAGACTTCCTTTTGGAATAAAATCAGCACCTGAAATATTCCATAGAGCGATGGAACGAACCATCGAAGGCTTGGAAGGAACAAGAGTCTACATCGATGACATCATCATCTGGGGATCAACAGCTCAAGATCACAATAACAGACTGAGGAGTGTCATGGAGCGCATACAGAAGAATGGACTGAAACTCAACAGGAGCAAATGTGAGTTTGGAGTTAAAGAAATCATGTTTCTTGGAGATAAATTGTCGGCACAAGGTGTTCAACCAGACGGGGATAAAATAAATGCAATATTGAAGATGCCACAGCCCACGGACAAAACAGGTGTCCTACGTATTATGGGTGTGATCAATTTTATAGGCAAATTTATTCCCAATCTGAGTGCAAAGATGACTAACATCCGCAAACTCTTATACAACGACAGCCAGTTCAAGTGGACAGAAGTTCATGAACAAGAGTGGAAGGAGCTAAAAAAACATTTGACCACTGAGCCAGTGCTAACCTTCTATGACCCTAAGAAAAAAATGAAACTGTCCACTGATGCTTCAAAAGATGGACTAGGAGCAGTTCTTCTTCAAGCTGAGGATGAACAATGGAAACCAGTGGCTTATGCATCCAGAGCCATGACAAAAGCTGAATGCAGATATGCCCAGATAGAAAAAGAATGCTTGGGGCTAGCTTATGAACTAGAACGTTTTCATAGCTATGTGTATGGACTTTCATCTTTTATTGTAGAAACAGATCACCGACCTTTAGTTGCCATCATCAAAAAGAATCTGAATGAAATGTCACCGAGGATTCAGAGACTGATGATGAAGATGCAGAGGTATGACTTCACACTGATCTACACTCCAGGAAAACACCTGATTCTTGCTGATGCTCTTTCCAGAGCACCCACAGACAATGGTGTGAGTTCAACTGAGGAGGATGTTCAGTGTCATGTGAACATGGTGTCTACTGTGTTGCCTGTGTCAGATGAAAAGCTGAGACAGATAGTAGAGGCAACAGCTAAGGATGCAGAGTTACAGCTGGTCATACAAAACTTGGATGAAGGATGGCCAGTAGGTTCATGTTCACAGTTTTTCAATGTTAGAGCTGACCTAAGTGTTGTGGATGGACTGTTACTGAAAAACAACAGAATTGTGATTCCACAAGTGTTAAGACAGGACATTCTGCAACGGATTCATGAGGGTCATCTAGGCATTGAAAAATGTAAAAGGAGAGCTAGAGAATCAGTATTCTGGCCAGGACTTAACAAGGATATTGAGATGCTAATAAGCAAATGTGAAACATGTCAGAAATTTAGAAACAAACAAAGCAAAGAACCTATGATGATTGCTGACATTCCAACATCACCATGGCTGAAAGTGGGAATGGATTTGTTTAATCTCAACGGCAAAGACTATCTAGTGATCATTGATTACTATTCAAACTATCCAGAGATGGCTCTGTTAGCAAATATGTCATCAAATTGTGTGATAACACATGCTAAATCAATCTTTGCTAGACATGGTATTCCACATAGTGTTGTGAGTGACAATGGACCATGCTTTAACAGCAGAGAATGGCAAAAGTTTTCAGAACAGTATAATTTTCAGCATGTAACATCAAGTCCACATTATGCACAATCAAATGGTCAAGCGGAGAAAGGAGTTCATATTCTCAAACAACTTTTGAAGAAAGCTGCAGATAGTAACTCTGACCCATATTTGGCTTTATTAAGCTACAGATCATCACCACTGCAATGTGGATTCTCACCTGCTGAACTCTTGATGAACAGAAAGATTCGCACAACTCTGCCAAGTTATTGGAGTAATGTACAAGGTGAAAAGAAACCATCAAAGTTGGAGTACAAGTTACAACAGCAGAAAGTGAAGCAAAAGTCATATTATGACAGATCAGCTAAGATTCTATCCCCACTGTCATACAAGGACCCAGTCAGGATTCAGGATGCGGAGGGATGGAATACTAAAGCAACTGTTCTGCAGGAAGTAGCTCCAGGTTCATTTGAGGTAAAAACTGAAGATGGACAAGTTCTGAGACGTAATCGACGCAGTTTGTTGAAAACTCCATCAGAGACTGTTGGTGAGTCGAAGGAAGGTTGTAAGGACTCTCAAAGTATTCCTGCAACTGAAACAGACACCACCAGAGACAATCCACCGGTGCTAAGAAGATCTACCAGAGTTGTGAAAAAAACCTGACAGACTGACTTATAAGTGTATAAGAGAAAAATGTATTAAATGTATGTCAACTATTTTGTAAAAGTTAAGGTACCTTTATTGTAGCTATACTGTATTATGCTCTATTTGCTGCAGGTGATGTAAGTAATTTTGACAGGCTTATTTTTGTAACGTTCTTACTTTAAAGAAAGGGGGATGTGATGATTGGATGTATTCTGCTTGTCCAGTAGGTGTCAGTCACGAGTATACATGAATGTATAAATGTGAAAACAATAGAGTAAGAGTTTGATGAGATACTTAAGACACCTGTGACCTGTGTGAGCAGACCTGTGAGCAGAGATTTAATAAAAGTACCTGAGCAGTAATAGGGGACTGGTTCTTATCAAACACAAATATAACAGGAAAGTCTTAAAACTGAACAATGTGTCAGCCTCACGGACAGAAACTGGAAGTTGGTTCCACAAGAGAGGAGCCTGAGAACTGGAAATCTTCCTCCCATTCTACCTTTAGAAACTCTAGGAACCACGAGTAAACCTGCAGTCTGAGAGCGAAGTGCTCTGCTAGGAAAATATGGAACAACAAGATCTCAAATATAAGATGGAGCTAGGTTGTTGAGAGCTTTGTAGGTTAGAAGTAAGATTTTGAATTCAATTCAAAACTGAATTTGCCTATGAGGAAAGTGACACGTGGACCTTCTGACCCTAATATCAATCAGGCAGCCCTTTGACAGACGATCAGAGACTGGCAACGTCTGCCAAACTGTCAGGAAGAATGTGGAGGGAGGGGTAGGGTAGGGTTGTTTGGTAGGTACAATTCTAGAATCTATTCAATTCATTTCTGTTTATTTATATAGTGCCAAGTTACAACAGAAGTCATATCAGGGCTGGAACTACAGGCTACCAAAACTGGTCCTCTTCCCTATACTTAATGGCAGCGGTTTGTCTATGAATAATCCTTACCTAGGGCTGGGGCTACTGCATCTAGTTTCTAATATGGTTACTATGGCAGTCCTCATGGAAAAACATTTGGGGTCGATTGAGGTAAAGCAAAGAAAGCCTTGCAGTCCTCTAGCCCCTCTCATCTGGGGCCATGAAACATGATACCTGCTGCATGGTAGAAATGCTCATGTGCATGCTGCTTGAAGAAGACTACACACAGCTAAGGGCTCCACACAAGCACTTAAAAACAATCACTATCTTTCTTGCTGAAGAAGAGACTGTATGGACACTGGCACTTTGAAGCCTAAAAGGTTTCTGGTAGTTTTGCCTATGGCCTCTGCATGAGTAGGTCTCGTTACATTACACGGATCCTCAAAACTTCCCTGCAGTGGAAATAGCAGGCACATAAAAAAGTCTTTGTTGCCAGGAGGTATGCACAGCTAGTAAGCAAGCCAAGAAATGAGCTGACTCTTTCCATTTCAGGAGAACCCACCAGAATGAGGGATTACGTGACATCTTGCTCCACTCAAGGGAAAGCTGCATGACTCTGAGGTCAAAAATCAGGCAATCGTACTCAGAAGAGAACTATATATTTACATATTCAGCCTCTTTCTCTTCTCCTTCCGCTTCAGGATAGTGTGAGGGACGAGTTAAAAAGAAAAGAGTTCAGTACAAAAACAACTGGACTTTATTTGTCCAGTTGTTTTTGTACTGAACTCTTTTTGAATTTATCATGTCCTGGATGACTGAGAATCTTCACCAGCATGTGAGGGACCAAGCTAAAACAGTGCAAAACTTCAGTGAAGCATTACATGTTTCCTTGGTAGCAGCCTGATAAGAACAGCCGATTGGATGAGGGTAACCCCTGTAGGACTGCCAGACGATGGTCCAGACACAGAACACAGTCATCCTCTCTTGTAAAGGAGTCCTCTTGGCTCAATAAGACTAACCTGTATAAATAAAGGTTGAATGAATCCTGGTTGTATTTTGAAGAACTCACAATGATGTGCCGTAGAGGTTGTCCCCATGGTTACCAACAGGGTCCTAGCTGAAGCTGTGATCAGGAGGGGTTTCTAAGGACCCAAGACCAGTTCAGCTGGCTGCTCTACAGAAGTGTTCAAGTTTGTCTGCTCATCAGTGGGATAGGTAGAGATAGGTGGAACCTGCATCAGCAGGTGAAAGTGTGAAGAGGTCCACAGACAGATGCTCAGTATTACACGCAGGTAAGTGGATTTATTGATGTACTTCTAACACAACTTTCCCCCACATATGAAATATGTAACGGGTGGAAAGATATTCTGGAGAGGACCGAGAACAACAGATCTGGAACCAAGAAGCCCCTCACCTTGACTGCTCAGACACATTCGGTGTGATCATGACGACAATGTGGCGAGTCGTCCCGTGGCGCCGCAGACTTCGGGCCACCACAACGGCTCCCTGGCAGTAGGAGTCTGTGGTGGCCAGAGTCACGAAGGCCTCGCCAGCTGCAGAAAGGAGACATGAACAGATCAAATGGTTTCAGCTCGCGGTTGATAGATTATTTGTTTATAACAGTGGTGCCATATCTTGGCCCTCAAGGGCCACTATCCTGCATCTTTAGGTGTTTCTCTGCTTTGGCAACCCTGATTAAAAGACTTCTGCAGAACTTAAAGACCGGCTGAAGAGCAGGGAAACAACTAAAACTTGCAGGGCAGTGGCCCTGGAGGGCCAGAAGTGGGCACCACTAGTATGGCTCTTACTGCTTTTCTCAATATTGACTAACTTCGTATTTTACAAGATAAGCAGACTGTTGTTGTGTCTGCTGATCCCATCTTCAGGGGATGTCACCGTGAGAAAATTATTGGAGTTTTGTTTTACGCCGCATGCCCTTCTTGACTCAACGTCAGGATTCGACGGCAGCACTGAGCTCAGAGCTCCCACAGCCCCGAGGCGAGCAGATGATTGGAGCACGAAAAGATGTTTCTGGTGTTCCATCAAGTGTCTTCATGGACCACCAGAATGGATCTCTAACTGCCGCGGTGGGGAATGAGAATGGTTTCTTGATGTGACGTCATCAGCCTGAATCAAAACGAGAACTGATCTCTGATGAAATACGCCTTTTGTTTGGTTTGAAATAATTTACGTTTGTCACCTGAAAATGATTTTTTAACCAAACGTATTAACTTGTTATCTTGAGAAATCTTATCTCAAGATGATGAACCCTGTCAAAGAACATATGGTTAGCAGCTTGTTCTTTTGAGGAAACCACTGTCATTATGTGAACATAGAGACAAAGAAGTTTTTTATGGAACACCAAAATTAAATAAATAAATAAAACATTATGAAATAAGCATCTAAGCTAATTATTACGAGAGAAAATATCTTTAAAAAATATGCTTATTAATATAATTCTTGCCTTATTTATTTCATCATGACACTTTTCAGCAGAATGACTTTGTCAAACATCGTCAGTGGATTGGAGCTGCATACCCATTGGCTGATCCCTCACATCGATCCGTTCTCCTGAATACTGAAAACATTCTATGTGTCGTACGTGAATGCTTCAGTTCAGTGCCCTGAGACATGTTTGCTGTGAACTGGTGCTATAGAAATAAACTGAACTGAACTGAATTGAATACCTGCTCACAGCACAGGTACAGCTAGCCACAGCAGCTAGCAATGACTTGCTAGGTTAAGGTGCAAGGGGTCTGGGGGTCCTCCCTAGAAAACTTTCAATAAAGTACATGTGATTTCCTGCATTTTGGTATATTTTGACGGGTTGTCAAACATCTACGTGATTTTATATAAAAAATATATACATATACTGTATATATATATTTTTTTTCTTTCGGCTGCTCCCTGCGTTAGTGGTTGTCGCAGCGAACTAAGTCGCACGAAGACTTGACAGTTACTTTTACTCTGAATGTCCTTCCTGACGCAACCACAGACCACCGAGCTACCACAGCCTCTGTGTGGAGCAGAGAGCTGCTGTGTAGGACACCTGGAGGAGCAGATGGTGGGGGTTAAGGGCCTTGCTCAAGGACCCAGAGTGGGACGAATGAGGGTGGGGGCAGGTGTGGGTGCTTCACCTACCCCCACCCACATTTTTGATGTTGTCGGTAGCGGGGCTTGAACGGGCGATCTTCCGATCACAGGCCCACCTTCTCTAACCTCTGTGCCACCACTTCCCTCGTGTATATATATATATTTTTTTTTTTTTGCGGACCCTCAATGGCTCATGGACCCCCGGTGGTTCGGGGATCCCAGTTTGAGAACCACTGCCATATGGAATATGCACAACAGGAACTGTCCAGATGTTGGCCAACCATGTCTTGAAATCGTGGGAGCAGCACTCAAGACTTCAGTGCTGTCTGCCAGAACCATTGGGGTTACTGCTAATATGTTTTCTTTGTGAGAAGATTAGCGGAAGAAAGGCTAAGGTAATTTTAATCCGTAATTCAACACCTGTGGGATTTTGTGTATGGCCTTATTAAGATGATCCCAATGTTAGCACAGTAATTTATCACATGAAATTGTATTGTTGCTCTTTCCTTGACCTTTTCTACACACTTGACCCAGCTGGGGATTCAGGAACTACTCAACACCAGTGAAGAAATGGACTTGACTTGCACAGATGGTTCTTGGGTCACATCCAACATCATGTTCAGTCTTTCAAGGCAGCATGGAATCAGCACGAACTAAGATCGGCACACAGCAATCCCCCCTGCAGCTCTGGCTGTTGCACAGGAAGGAAGGACAAGATTTATCACAGGTCTGAGTATTTGGTACATATTGGTTCCTGTACGTAACATTCTACTTTGTAGACAAAATGTACTTTGTCTTTATTAGTTGGCCTAACAAAATGTTTCAGCTTGCAGAAAAAATGTCTACAAAGCCCTTCTACCTTTTTATTCCATCTTATGGGAAATATTTACCAGTACTGTTATGTTAGAACACTGCAGAGAAGGGAACAGACAGGTTAATGCCATTGAGGCTCCAGGACTCATTTACAAGAGAGACCTGGACTGCTGTACACAGTACTGACTTCAAACCGCTTCAACAAGATCATCCTTAGCAAATACAACTGAACTATTAAAAAGACTGAATTGATGCAGCAGTTACTTCTGTGATGCAAATTTACTGATTAACTGTACAGTACATGACAAACCCCAAATAGATTTGAGCAAATGCATACAGTCCAGTTGTGCAACATCTTTTTTTTTGGTCATTTTCATTTACTCTTTATTTATACAGGTAGTCTCATTGAGTCACGAGAACTCATTTACAAGAGAGACCTGTTTTTTGGGAGCAAATGGTGGGGGTTAAGGGCCTTGTTCAGGGGCCCAGAGTGGGGCCCTTAAGGGTAAATGGTAAATGGACTGTACTTATATAGCGCCTTTCTATCTTATTTCAAGATACTCAAAGCTCTTTACAACAATCTGTGCCTCATTTACCCATTCATACAGCTCTATACTAGATCTCTACAAATCTAACTGAACAAATCATTCTACAGAGACTAATCAGAGCTTTATCACATTCATACACTGATGGGACACACATCAGAGGCATTGAGGGGTTCAGTGTCTTGCCCAGGGACACTTCAGCATGTGACTGCTGGTGGACGACATTGGAGGACGACTGCTCTGACCACTCAGCCAGAGCCGCCCTTGGAGGCAGGTGTGGGTATTTCACCTTTTCCACCCACATTTTGATGCTGACGGTACCAGGAGTTGAACCTGCGACTTTCCGATCACAGGCCCATCTCCCTAGTCTCTGCGCCACCATTTCCCCAATTACCTGGATGATGTCATCAGTAATGTACTGAATGAACTGAATGGATGGAACCTGATTTAAAACTGAGTTTTTGAGGGATTTATGACAAAAGACCTAGAGCTTTAATTTAGCTTGCCAGGTTGCGATGAAAAATAAGACTTGTGTATCCGTTTTTGATACTACTGTTGCTAAGTCAATAAAACGAACCTCAAACAGTTGCTCTGCTGTAATTCTGTAATTATAACGTCAGGTGAGATATTAGAACTATAATAGAACGGACATGGAAAAATAAATCATGCAAAACACTGCTGTGCTTCAAGAAAAACGTTTAATTTCACGCAGTGGTACTGAATCCATTAAAACTTGGAATACATCCTAAACCAGAGCAGAACCTGTCAGACGAGTTGAGATACTTGAAAATCCTTTAAATGGCTCAAGATTTATTGTAGTGCATACGTCAAAGTAGGTAGAGGGACGTCTTTCCACCTGCTTTGTGGACTTGGAAAGACGTTTTTCAACC